AAATAAATAAATAAAATCTTAAAAAAAAAAAAAGACCCATTTCATTTAAGTTTCACACATGAATAAACTCTAAATTAGTCAATTAAATATTTTTATGGCACTATGAGATAAGTCTAATTTCACAGGTGAAGACTCACCTACATTAACAATAGACCCTCTCTGCTGTTGAATCATAGTCTTCAAGGCAACTTTACAAGTCAGCATGGAACCCAAGAGGTTAGTATGAAGCTGAGATATCATATCTTCAGTTTTTGTTCTTACTAAAAGGCTATCCCTACAAAAAAAACAAAAAACAGTAGCATATAAATAAAAAATGGGATAAAAACAAATTCAGAAAGTCAAGAAATATATAACATTTTAACTGAAAATAGAGTATTAGGAATAGAGGTGAGCTAGAATACCTACAGAGTCCCATTTTAAAGTTGATTTGAGGGGCATTAAAATAACTGATAAACCAGAACAGATATACCCAGAAGCAGGGTTGAGGGGCAAATATTCCTAACTGCTAAAAGTAATGCCATGCAGCCAAAATAGCTTGAATGAACTGAGCAACTGCCATTACAGTAAGCCCTGTTTAGCAAGAAAATATACTATTCTAATTATTATCCTAAATTCATCTTTTAAAAAGAAAAGAATACCTACTCTAATACCATTAAGTTATGAACTTATACAATGGTGACAGAAGTCAGAATAGTGGTTACCTATAAGGTAGTATTCACTGGGAAGAAACTCAAGAGAGCCTTCTGGAGTGCTAGAAAAGTTCTATAGCTCAATATGGGTGTGACTGCAATGTTAAAATTGATCGAACTGTACCCTTACTGATATATCAATATAAAAGAAAAGAATGTATAGATAGATCAAATTTTAAAATTTTTTTAAAATACATACTTTCTTCCAATTAGAAGTACAGCAAGTTAATAGATTTACTCATACCAATCAAAAACATATTAGAAAAAAAAAAAATACGGGAAATGTACTTAAATTTGTGACCAACCTGTTAATTCCAGCTGCGTTTACCAAGAAATTAACTCGACCTAAATTTTTTTCCATCTCTTCAAATGTATTTTGAACATCACGTTCTTTGGCAACATCACAGCTAAGTGCTAAATGATCTCCTACACAACAAAATTAAATTAGCATTACTTATAAATTATAACTTCAATTTAAAAATTATTCAATACACGTTTCTTAAGCATCTACTATGAGCTAAGCCTGTGATTATTAGAACCTAGAGATAAAAGATTATGTCACGGATTCCTGCTGTCAAGGAGTTCAGTCCAATAAAACTGAGATGCGGGTGGATGTGGAGTAAGAAGTAAAGTAATACTACAGAATTAAATCTTAAAACTTTTTTTTATCAAGAAAAAATGGGAGGAGGGCCTTTTTGTGTTCATAAGGCTTTGTAAGATTCATCCAATAATATTTCTGACTTTGACGGTGATCCCATGCTACTCGATTCAACAGTGTTCTGGGTTTTATTTTTTTTTTTTGAATTTATGTCTAATTCTGTTAGGTTTTTGTTAAATTGGTTTCCTAGTCCTGAGAATAAACCCTAGGGGTCTTGTACTTTTTTTTTTTTTTTTTAACTATGGCACATATATTACAATAACTATTATTCAAGCCTGACCATTATAAAGCAGGAAGCTATAAAAAGAAAAAAAAATGCCAAAACTAAAAAACACACACAAAAAACCTTTACTAAAAACTTACTTCCCCTTTTTAAAATGCCCACTTTTTAAAGATGTTTAAATACCAAAAGAATACATGTCAAAGAAAGCATTTTCCATTCAATAATACATCATTTTAATACTCTAAATGTAGATTTTTTTTTGAAAACTAAACAATTGCTTATTTTCTGGCTGACCTCGCCTAGTAGTTAACACTAAAATTACAACCTCATGCCTTTGGAAACAGTAAGCTTTCTGGGAAGTCACACTTTGTAGGTGAAAACCAATTGCTTATGGAACACATAATTCAAGGAAGTAAAAGGCCCAAAAGACTCCTCTGTGACCCACTGTCGACTTTCATCTGAAAACTTGTTGGGTTCACAATAACCCTCGAAGCTCAACCAAAAGTTTTAATCTACTCCAGCAAACACTAATGGCTTGGGATGACCCCCATAAGGAAAATCACTTTCTCACTCCTTTGTGACAGTAACATAATCGAAGTGAATATGAGCAGGAAGAAGCATTCACTGAAATTCTCCCTGCTCTGTAACTCCTGTTTTTTTTCTCTCTAAACATAGTCTAATATTTTCCCAACCCATGTGCACAATTAGAGTGAACCAATAAGTAACGTTGAAGGATACAGCTTCCAAATGCAACCCAGCCTCTTCCCAATGCCTCCCTGATAATGAAGTGCATTTGCGCCTTCCAGTAACTAAATTGCAGCATCTCAGCATTTTTCGTTCATCGTAATTCTCCCTACCATCAAGGGACTTAAATTTGCAAAATAATGCAAAACAATTACTAACCCATTATTAATAAACAACAACAAAAAAAATTGGATTTTAAATGCAGTAAAAAGGAATCTGAAAATCTCAATTCTCCATTTGTAAAAGCCACCAAAACAATTTCATAACCTATTAAGTGGTTATGGATGTAGGAGAGCCAAAACAAGTGTATCTCAAAACCGGCTGGTACTCAAAAGAGTTTGTCTATGAAACACTGCTTTGTGCATTCGCACAGGGGCCAAAACAGCCCTCAAGAAAACTACAGCGAGCCTTTCAGGCCTGACACGCCTACCCTTCCTGCTTTTCCGCCCAGCCCTGTCTCCCGGCGGCGCCCCGGGACCTCGCGGCACAAGGGAACCCTTTACCCTGCATAAAAAATTAACTGTTGTGTGTCTCCCTCCTTCCAGACACCAAAACAAAACAACGCAACATCGTTAGCACTAGCCTCAGGGGGGTAGGTGTTTAATTAATGGGGCCTCACAAGATTGCTAAGACTCAAAGAAAACCCCAAGTGTTCAGCTCTTGGCGGCAGGCAGCGTGGCAGGGGATAATCTGCGGGGAACCGGGTGTTAAGGGGTTATCTGCCCAAACTGGTGTCCACACTCAGGACGGGGTGCTCCTAAACGCGGGTAGCTAAATTGCTAAACCTCAGAGCCGTAAAGGCCAGACCCTCTCGTTTTCAAACGAAGAAACTTCAGGCTCTCAGGACTGCAGCCACACAACTTGGAGGAGTCCAGTTCGGTACCTACCGCCGAGCTCACCGGCGGCGGCTTTGGCCACTTCCAGATTTCTGGCGATGATGGCCAGTCGGTAGCCTTTTTGGGCCATTAACTGGGCCACTGCCCTCCCAATGCCCCTGGAGCCTCCGAAAACAGCACAGACTTTGTCCATTTTGCCCCGGGGAGTCGCAAACTCGGGAGGAAAGAGGGCTAGGAGTGGTGGCTCCTTTCCAGATTCTCTCTGGCTTTTAAACCACAGAGTCTCCTAAAAAAAACGCAAACCGCCGAAGAAAAAAAAAAAAAGAAAAAGAGAAAGAAGGAAAGCACCGCAACCTTCTGCCGCCGGACTTCGGCAACCCAGTAGGCGGGGAAGAGGCGCGAAGAGTACGACGTCTACGCAACGACGTCAACGCGCACAGACTACCAGGCCCAGCGCCTCACGGGAGACGAGGGCGTGAAAGAGCCCGGGCGGCCGAGGACTGGCCTAGAAGGGCTGCGCTGCATGCTGGGACTTGTAGTCTTCACGCGGGAGAGGAAGAGGCGTGGGCTCACTGCTCAGTGGGAAATGTACTCAAGGCAATGAAGGAGGGTCAAGGAGACCTCCATACCCCTTGGGACGTGAGAGTCAGAATTAGAGTTCAGATGACCTACCATTCCAGTGTCCCTGGAACTAATGGGGTTAAGACGGTGGGCTTAACGTTTTAAAATCCTAACAGTCCCGTCAACCGAGATAAATTGATTATGGTAGTTAAAACCCAGAATATACATTATTCAGAGTTCCATTGTCTGCCTTACATCCAGGAATTGTTTTTTGGCTAAAGACTAAATGCCCTGCCTATTGAAGAAGTGATCCCCAAGTACCAGACTCACGCAAAAGCTATCCTACCTGTCCCTCCCCCAAGTTGCAACGGAAATAGACCTCACCCCATCTGGATATTACCATTCATCCCAAGTGTGTTGCAAAGGCAGCTGCCTATCAAGAACACCATATATAACAGGAACTCAAGAAACGTTAGTTGAGTGACTGAATTGTCTTGCAGGATCGATGAAACAAGCATGGATGCTGCAAACAAAAACAGGTTCCTACAGTTCTAAAGAGAACGTGCTCAGTGTTCTGAGAGTTAAGCTAAAAGTTGAGCATTTGTTAACAAGGATACTATTAAAAGGAAGCATTTCTTGATAGAGTATAACTGCATTAGATGATTCAAAAAAGTAGAAGTTTCATGGGTCCTTCTACTAAAAAATACACAACCTGGGACAACAGGACCAATACACACAAACACTAACAAGTAGTCTGAAACCCTAAAGTGAAAAATGATATTAACACAAGAGCTCAGAGAAAAGGGAGGGAGGTCAATGAAAAAAATACAGGAGTGCTGGGAAAAGCTGGATTGGAGGACTGGATGCAGTCTGAATAAAAGGAGAAGAGAAAGAAAGGAAGGAAGGAAGGAAGGAAAGGAAAGAAGGAAGGTAGGAAGGAAGGAAGGAGAAAAAGAAAGAGAAAGAAAATATAAGCAAATCGGCTGTTTTTAAATTATTTTTATTTCACCTAGATCCAAAGGGATTTGAAATGGCTTGCAAAGATAACACAAGTAAAACTTCACACTCTTTAGGATGGCTCCTATCAATAACAACAACAAAAAGACAATGACAAGTGTTAATGAGGACGTGGAAAAACTGGCACCCTTTTGTACTTTGGTGGGAATGTAAACTGGTACAAGAGCTTTGGAAAACAGAATGGTGTTTCCGCAAAAGAATGAAAAATAGAATTACCATATAATCCAGTAATTCCATTTCGGGGTATATACGCAAAAGATTGAAGGCAGAAGCAGGAAATCAGGTGATATTTGTATACCCAGGTTCATAGCAGCATTATTCATAATAGCTAAAAGGTGGAAGCAACCCAAAGGACCTTCAACAGATGGTGGATAAGCAAAATGTGGTACCCACACACAATGGAATAATCTTCAGCCTTAAAAAGGGAAGAAATTCTACAATATGCTACCACATAGATGAACCTTGAGGATATTATGCTAAACGAAATAAACATGTTACAAAAAAACAAATACTGTATAATTTCACTTATTTGAGGAAGTTAGAATAGTCACAATCATAGAGAGAGAAAGCCGAATGGTGATTGCCAGAAGCTGGGGGTGGGAGGGATGGAGAATTATTGTTTAAAGGGTATAATGTTTCAGTTTTGTAACATGAAAAGTTCCTGAGAGGTTTTGGTGGTGATGGTTGCATAATATGACTGTGCTTAATAGTACTGAGCTGTAGAGCTAAAATGGTTAAGATAGTAAAATATATGTTGTGTGTATTTTACTGCAATTTCTAAAACTGGAAGAAAAAACCTCAGCAATACAAATATTAACAATGACAACAAGAACACTGAATGCAGTTTAAGATTTCTTAATGGAGTTTGTCCCTAAAGTATACAGCAATATTGTCAAAATACTGTGATTTAAGAGCTCTTTAAACATTTCTTCTCTGAAGAATTACACCAAAAACCTGGTACCAGATTGTTTACAATTTTTAGAAATTGTTTTATTTTTATCATTTTTATTTAATTTGGTCTTTTGGTTATATAAAACATTTAATGGATCTTAAGTATAAATCACAAAACAGGTACTTCAGAGAAGTATAACTTTCATCCTTGTTCCTACTCCTATAAACTGACATTTTTTTAAAGATTTTATATTTATTCATTTGAGAGAGAGAGAGAGAGAGCATGAGCAGGAGTGGGAGGATAGGGGAGACAGAGGGAGAGGAAGAAACAGACTCCCTGCAGAGCAGGGAGCCTATGTGGTACTTGATCCTAGGACCCTGGGATCATGACCTGAGCCAAAGGCAGACCCTTAACCGACTAAGCCACCCAGCATCCCTGTAAATTGACATTTTTTGTTCACTTTTTTTGTATCCTCCCATTCTTTCTTTTCAAAAATACTAGAAAATGCATATCTTTCCTATTTCACCCACTTTCTTAACAAAAGGTTGTACACTATAAATATTGTTCCACACCTTGGGTTTTTTGTTTGTTTTTCAGAATAATAGTATATCTTGGAGATCATTCCATAGCTGTGTACCGAGATCCTCCTTGTTCCTTTTCACAGTTGCATAGTCCACCATTATGGGGATTGTGATTGGCAGAATTCTACAGATGATCTCCCCCAAGGCCCTCCCCCTCCCACCCCAGCTGTTCAAACACTAATCTAGGAACCACTGGGAAAGGAATTTGAAGATGTAATTAAATCCCAATTCAATTAGCCTTAAAATATGTAGATTATCCAGGTGAGCCTAATTTCATCAGGTGAAACCATTAAAAGCACCGCATTTTTTCCCTGCTGATGGCAGAAGGAAATCAAAGACATTTGAAGCATGAGGGGGATTCAGGGCATGAAAGGCGTTGCTGCTGAACTCCAGATAGAAGGCAAACAGCCACATTGTGAACTGCTGGTGAAGAGGGACAGCCTCTAGAGGCTGAGAGCAAGCCACAGTTAAGAACCAGTAAGAAAATAAGGACCTTAGTCCCACAGGTGCAAGGAAGTGAATTCTGCCAACAATCAGTGAGCTTGGAAGAGAACCCCTGGCCCCAGCTGCGTATTGCAGTACGAGCCCACACCTTGATATCAAATCTGAGACGTGAGCAGAGGATCTAGCTACATGGTACCCAGACTCCTGACTCATGGAAAATGTCAGATTAATAAATTTGTGTTGTCCTTTTAAAAAGCAAAGCATGAGTAAATGATTCTATTGTTTTTAATTTTATATTTTGAGGAGTAAATGATTTTAAAAGATAGAGGACCACCCTCATCCCCCAAAGGCCAGAACGATAACATGAGGTCAGTTGAAAATTTAGACAAATAAAGTCATGCTCTAAGAATCTATTTAGTACTAAAGAAGAGTTGCATATGTGATTCTGAGTTTCCTAGTGGTTAAAGCAACTAAGGAAACATGATTAGTTACAAGTAGTAATTTTTCTAAGAAATACACGGAAGTGCAGCAGAGAGGTTGAAACGAACTTTCCTCCTCATAGATCCACATAAAGGGCACACTAAATATTATAGTGGACTTTGTCATTATATATATATTATATATATATACTAGAAAATGCATATATCTTTCCTATTTCACTCTCTTCCTTACACAAAAGGTTGTACACTATAAATATTGTTCCACGTCTTGATTGGTTTGTTTTTCTGTTGCTTTTGTTTTTGTTTTTTTCAGAATAATAGTATATCTTGGAGATCATTCCATAGCTGTGTACCGAGATCCTCCTTGTTCCTTTTCACAGCTGCATAGTTCACCATTATAGGGATTAGGGTGTGTATATATATATATATATATATATATATATATACATACACAAAAATATATAGTAAGTATATGGTAAGTATAGTATATGGTAATTATAGTATATGGTACACACACAAACACACACACACGCTAAGGCTATTTTTATAGTATCTATTGTTATAAGCGGAGGACACAACTCCAAAGCAGACTTTTAAGAAAGTGAATACAATAGGAAGTTAAACGACATAAGCAAACATTCAGACACAAGAATGAGTCTTTGTATATCTGAAACAATGAAAAAATAAACCTGATTACCGGAAAATTGGGATGATGCTGGATTATAGCAGGATTTAAAGCCAGATGCAGGCATTAAAGAAGGAGTCACTTTAGCCAGAAGTCACAAGAAAAAAGCTGCACTTAAAAACAGTCTAGCAATGATATCAGGATGCGTTGTCTGATTTGTCTAAGCCCTTCTCTCACTACACACTCATCATATGCAATCTTGGAAAGGAAAAGCTCTCTTAGATTACCAATATGTGGGTCAGCCCAAATCCCAGCTGTATTCTTGGCATTCAGCATCATAGAGCAATCCACAGAGGCTCAATATTTGTGGACAGTTCTGTCAATTTCATAGGAAAAGGCTTATATTTTTTCCTACACATTGTTATTTCAGCAAAAAGCATGTTTTTACACCTATTCCATCAATGACAAAGATCATTAACACATAATGGAAGTTGACATTCAGAGTTCTCAAAACCTTCCAATTTTTCTCACTGCACATATATGGTAATGCTTAGGTGGAACTTTCCTTTTCCCATTTACTTCAGTTGAAACCCCAAAACTATTATTTACTTTTTCCCCTCTGAATGGAATACCACTACTATGCTGGGTGAGAAAACACTTATCACAACATATCAGCCATTAGCCAGGTTGGTTGTTGGCAGAGGAAGTCTCTCCCTAACCCCTTGATAGTGACTGAGAGTCTGTAAATTAAACTGGGTCTCCTTGCCCAAGCAGGACACTGAAGAAAGCCATTAGGACAGTCTGCCTTTGGTCTTTTCTTCTCACTGCACCTGTCACT